TTCAGCCTTTGCAGTCTTTATACATATCAGTAAAATGATCATTGGACTGTTCATTTTATTTTAACAACATATGTACTAAAAGGTATTTTGACAACAAATATATATCAGCTGTAGCAGCATCATATGAATTCTGGCATTTTACACATGGTCCACCAGGAGGNTTTCACATGAGATTTGGGCCATCTTGTGGGGGAAAAGCAGATTACTTCCTAGTCGCGAGCGCCCCCTCTGGTGGGGGAGCTTTTTTCAGGGATACAAACTTTTTCAGAACACCGGTAGACGGCAGCCATTACAGACAAACATGTTTGTTGTTGTTCGAGGAGCGGCTCGGTCACACGCTAATGTCATTAGTTCGCTATCATTTCCGGACTCAGGCATTTTGTGAATGAAGCCGATATTTCTGTTAAAATACATTAGTAAAAATATTTATCTGAGTATAGTACTACCCCCCAACTTTTTGGATGATTTTATGGATTTAATTTTACGTATTATACTTGAATGAATATGGTACGTTTTGTTGTGAGGCTCTATGAGCGCAGAAAAGTTTAGTTTAGTCTCTCCTGGTGCTGCAAAGATATCTTTATATTCAGTTTGGGTCAAATTTTTCAGCCCATTCATATTTTCTATGATGTTTTATGAACTATAAAATAATCTGTGAGGGAATTACCATAATATCTAGACTTAAATCTCCTCTGGTTCTGGGTCAGACTCTGGCTCCAACATGTAAGGCTGGATGAACACATCTTCTATTGTTGACATTTTTAAATTAAATTGTAAATAAAACATTTCTGCAACCTAGAAAACTGACCCCCTCTCTGAAACCGAAGTGGACCGATCTGGAAGCAGGAGGGGGCGGGGCTTAAAGTGTCTTAAAGGAACAGTAACAACACCAGCTGCTTTGAGACACACAGCAGAAATGGGGTGAAAGAGAAAATTTGTAGTTTTACTTTTTAAAGACTCCAACTGAATGATTTAAATATGAAAAAAGGATTTAAATGCATGATATGTCTACTTTAAGATGATTTAAGTCCATCATGACTACAACCTACATGTTTTACAAAAAATGCAAATTCAATGTCATTTTTTAAAGCATCAAATCTGATTTAAGTTCAGTTTAACTCATTAAAAAACTGCAACAAACGAACATAAATATGTTATTCTACTAGAAGTGATGCATGATGGGACTTTTAGTTTTGTTACAATGCAAAAACACATGAAATATTCAGATATTCAAGTAAAAAATCAAGTTGACAAAGAAAGCATCCATGAACAAACGTACAAATTTAAGAAACAAATGCCTTTTAAAAGGAAAAATCTGAACTAAAATGATTTCATGACTTTTAGGACCCTGCAGAAACCCTGTAAATTTAACGTTGAATCAAAAAAAAAAAAAAAAAAAAAACCCTCACAACTAGAAGTGAGAAAAGTCCTGTAAATGACATCTCAAGTGCCAGCTGGTGGAGAAGGAGGCAATAAAACAGTGCCATTTTTTTTATTCCTAGTTTGTGTTTATGGATGAAACACGTCGACCCCGGCAGTGTTTTCGGGCGCTCTGAGAGTCCCACAGATCCACAAGTACGTACTCAGGAACAGCAACATCAGAAGGTTGATTGGGTTCACAAGGAAGATTTTGCCATATTTGTAGTTTTCTTATATACACAGGACTACTATACTGCAGCAATTATGACTCACAATATACACACACGACCACTGACGGCTACAGTTGCACTAAAGAAGCCTGACAATCCCCACCCAATATCTAACAGAACGCGTCATTTTTGTACAAAACACATCGTGTAGATATACAAAAACCGACGGTAAAGGGTTGATGGCAAAAGAATGTGCAAGATATTAGAAAATACTGGGGTAGAAACACACGTGGACATCTTCGTCTTTGGTGAAAATTGAACAGAGTATGCTTAAAGACACCTGAGCACACATTAATTCACCACATTTTTTTGAGTTTTTTGTTTTTTTCTGACCGACTGCAGCTGCTTGGAAATACCGTACGTCGTCAATAATCAGTGTATTTAACAGGCGAGGAGGATGAACGTCACACCGTGAAACTGTACATTTGGTTTGAAACTACTGGCATCGGGTTTTTAGCATACGACGACGTCCGCTCGTCGAGCAGACTGTACCGACTCCACCGCTTGAAGAGGTGCTTCAAAGAAACAAAACAAAACAAACAAACAAAAAAAAAAACAGGTGTTTGCATCACAGCCACAATGGGTTAATGTGGCATCTCTAACTTCATAGGTTGAACTGCATGTGGTGCTACAGGACATCTAGATCGGACAGCTGTGGAGGAAATACGAGATCTGAGAGGTTTGCTGTATCGTCTCCTCAATCGTTAAATCCTGTCTTTACAGGAGGAAAAAAAGGAGAACAAAAAGAAAAGTGTCCCTTTCACCCCACCACAAATCAACCGATCACAAGAAATCTAGAAAATAGACAAATATTCAAAGCTGCCTGTGGAGAAAGTTGCTGGCATTCATTCAGATAAAGAATCATTCGCTGATGGGAGTTCTCCGTTGCATCGGGTTCTGCTCTAAAGCCTCTCAGTTCAGTTTCCATGCAAAGCCATGGCTTCAAATCAGGGAGAAAAAAAAGAGAAGAAAAGTACAACGTGCATCGCCTCCCGAAGCTTTGTCCCGAGACCCAGGCGGAGCGGAGGGGTGGGGGAGGTGCAGGAGGAGGAGTCCRTCCCCCCACCCCTCCCCCCGCTGTTCAAGTATGAAATGACAGTGAAGAGAAAATAACTGAGAACAAGTGCTCGAGTGAACGAACAAAGACAGGAAAAAAAGAACTAAATTGAGGGCACTTTTGCATCGGACGTTTGTTTTTCCAGTCAGAGAATCAAACAGGCCGAGGATAATTCGTTTTCACCTTTAATATAGGGGGGCTGAACAGGTGGTCTTATTGTAAGGAACAGATCAGATAAAACATTATTTTCTCTAACTATTTTCACTTTTCTGTACTAGATTTATATCCTGAAGATTTCAGCATTATTAAAATAAAAATCACTGCTGTTAATTTTAGCATGTCTACATTTATAGATATATGTGACCCATCACATCAAAATGAGGATTAAGTCTAAAAGTTGTATATGGAGAAATAGGCAAATATAGTGTTTTGATTAAAATGTTAACAAAAATTAAATTTTGTCAAAATATAATGAATAAATGCCTTATTAATGTATCATTTGAATGAAGTGTCTGAAATATAATCTGAACTGTCTGAAATATAATCT